TACAAGGATGGTTCAACATTAAAAAAAATTAGGATAATTCATCACTTTAAAAAAGCAAAGAACAAGAACCACATGATCCTATCAATTGATGCACAAAAGGCCTTTGACAAAATACAACACCCTTTACTAATTAAAACACTCAACAAAATAGGAAGGGGGGTTTCTTCAGAATAGTAAAAAGTATATATGTAAAACCAAAAGCCAACATCATTCTCGGTGGAACGAGATTAAAGGCATTCCCTTTGAGAAGAGGAACTAGGCAAGAATGCCCACTATCACCTTTCCTACTCAGTATTATATTGGAAGTCTCAGCAACAGCCATAAGACAAGAAAAGGAAATAAGAGGTATCAAAATTGGCAAAGAGGAGGTAAAATTATCTCTATATGCAGATGATATGATAGTATACTTAGAAAATCCTAAAGACTCAGTGAGAAAACTACTGGACAGAGTTGACCAATTCAGCAAAGTGGCAGGATACAAGATCAACATACAAAACTCAATTGGATTTCTCTACAGTGACAAAGAGAATACAGAACTGGAGCTAAAAAAACAATACTTATCATAATAGCTAATCACAAGATTAAATACTTGGGAGTAAATCTAACCAGAAGTACAAAGCACATATTCAAAGAAAATTATAAAACATTACTACAAGAAACAAAAAGAGACCTGGTGAAATGGAAGAATATCCCTTGCTCATAGATAGGAAGAATCAATATTGTGAAAATGACAATTCTACCAAAGGCAATCTACAAATTCAATGAAATCCCAACACAAATACCAATTGCATTCTCCAACGAGATGGAAAAGGCACTTTTCAATTTCATCTGGAATGGAAAGAGACCCTGAATAGCAAAGCATTCCTGAAAAAGAGAAACAAAGTAGGAGGCATCTTATTCTCTGATCTCAAATCCTACTACACAGTCATGGTGATCAAGGCAGTGTGGTCCTGGTACAGTGACAGACACATAGATCAATGGAATAGAATTGAGAACCCAGAAATCAGCCCATCTACCTATGGTCAATTGATTTCTGACAAGAAGATGAAATCAGTTAGTTAAATGGCAAAATGAAAGCCTTTTAAACAAATGGTATTGGCAAAAATTGAAAACTATCTACAAAAATCTCAAGCAAGACCCACACTTCATTCCATACACAAAAACCAACTCAAAGTGGATCAAGGTCCTAGGGCTAAAATAAAGGATGATAAACTTCATCAGAGAAAATCTTGGAAAAACTCTAGAAGCCCTAATCCACAACATGAACAGTCTTCCAAGTATCCTGAAAAACCTACAACCAGGAGGGAACCTTCTAAGAATCAAATCCCTATGCACATCCAAAAACTTCTCCAACAGGGTAAAAAGGGAAGCCACAGACTGGGGAAAAATATTTGATAATGACATATCTGATAAGGGACTTATATCTAGAATTTATTGAATACTCCAATACCACAACAAGATAAACAAGTCAATCGCAAAATGAGCACAGGATATAAACAGACACTTCACCAAAGAAGACATCCAGATGGTGAACAAACACATGAAGAAATGTTCACAATCCTTAGCTGTAAGAGAGATGCAAATCAAAAGAACTATGAGCTATCATCTCACTGAAGTAACAATAGCAAAGTTCAAGAGAGAATCAAACAACAAATGCTGATGAGGTTGTGGAGAAGCTGGAACCCTTATTCACTGTTGGTGGGAATGTAAAATGGTACAACCACTATGGAAGGCAGTATGGAGCTTTCTTAAAAAGTTGTAAATAGAAATACCATTTGACCCAACAATTCCACTACTGGGAATATACCCTAAAGAAATTAGAACTTCCACACAAACAGATAATATGCACACCTATGTTTATTGTTGTGCTATTCAAAATAGCAGAGATGGAAGCAACACAAGTGCCTATCAACAAATGAATGGATGGAGAAGCTGTGGTATATTTACACAATGGAATACTACACAACACTGGAAAACAAGGAACTCATAAAATATGTACAGAATGGGTGACCCTGGAGGACATTATGCTGAGTGAAATATCTGTCACAAAAGGACAAATACCACATAATGCCACTGTCACAAAACAGGACTGACTTTGAGGGTTGGAGGAAACTACGAAAACCAGGGATAAATAATGAATACAGTACTGAAACAAATGAGGGAAAGACTAGGTTAAAAGGAATATATAATTAGGCATTATTTGCATGACAACAGTCCAGAATAAAAGGTACATAACAAAGTGGACTTGGGGCAGAGGAGAGAGAAAACTGTGCAACAATGAATGAGTTTCTTAAAGAGAAAAGTGAAGTGGGGGGTGGGGAGCGTTGGGAGGAATATGTGTAACAATGAATTAATGGAAATCTAATTTTTATGTAAACTTTTGTTAAAATCACAATAAAAAATTGTATGTTAAAAAATAAAGAGGCAATTAAAAAAAGACTATCTTATGAAAACAATTCTTCACATCCCAGCAGGCTTTAGAATGTCCAAACATAAGCACTGTTTCATAGTTATTTAAACTCTCTTCTTTGCACAAGAATGTGGTAAACAAAAATGTAACAAGCATTCAAAGTAGACCACTGCCTCTGGGGACACAGTGCTGTCACAGACTGACACTTTAAGGTTAGGGAGTTTGATACTGAGAGAAAGGCAAAGAACTCATTTTCTACTAGTGAACAATTGTTATTTATTTGTCCGGGCTTCTGGGTCTTCTTTGATCTCTTAGCATTTTTAGATTCAAGGCTGTGAGATAGCATATTTCCCACCAATAAAACATCATCAACACACAGATTGAGAAGCTTCCCTCCTCCTGCCCCTCCAGCACATGCAACTAAGCCCAGGTTTGGGTAAGTAGTAGTGAATAGGTAGAGTGTTGGAAGGGGTCCCCAGCTAGACTCTGGATGTGCAAGTTTCTTGTGCTACAGTTTCATTTGCTCATTCATTCGTGCACATGATAGTTATTAAGCAGCTACTGGGTGCCTGCTTCTGAGATTACAGTGGTGAGCAGGACAGATGGTCTCAGCTTTCGAGGTGCTGTCCTGTGGCCCCATGCAAATTGATTGAGTTCTATTTGGTGACAGCTAAAGTTAGCTCCTGAACAAGCAATCCTGTGGATCTACATCAAAGCAGTAGGAACATGTGTTGCTGCAGAAATCTGCTGTCCAGAATCCTTTATGGAAGAAAGCAGGGGCTCTGTCTGGGCCTTACCAAGTTCTCTTCTTTGCTCTGCTGTGAGATGAAAGCCCCACTCACCCTGTGTCTGCATCATACCTTTGTGCCTTCCTCACAGACTGGAAATTTGCTCTCCTGCATATGTCTCTCTGCAGAAGACCCATTATTCTGAATCCCTGTTGCTGGGTGAAGGATGAGCCCTTTTCAGGAGTCTGGTCATGCATAGTCTCAATGGCTGAGGGCAAAAATGGCTCTGCACTTCCCTGATGCTGAGTCTTAACTGGGAGCTTGGGAAATATGATTCCTTAAAAAGCCTTCGGGGTGAGTGTCTGGAAGATGTGCCTGGGTGTTGTTTGCTTGCTACATCCCTTTTTATTAACACCTCCAGAAACATGAGAAAGATGTACATTTTTTCCTTGAGTGTAAAGTGCATTCAATTAAATGAAGTTGAAAGGTGTATCTTTGGAATCAAAAGATTAAGCTTTCAGATATGTATACTTAACACAGAAAACAGTTAAATGTTTACCCAGTAATACCAAAGTTTATAATATTTCAATTCCAGGAAAAATTTAATACCTAAGGCCCCAAAGTGCTTAGCATGATGCTAAGTCAGGTTTTGTTGTGTTTTTTTTTTTTTAATGTGCTTCCTCTTGGGCTTTGAATCGATAAGTGCGATGGTCTGTGGGCTTCATTTTGGTAGCACTGCTGTTTGGAAAATGAGAAACACTGAGTTAGAAGAAAATTGCTGAAAAGAGAAGAAACTGATTAGTTCAAGGACTCTAACATACGTTTGTGCCTTCAGCTTGGAGCTCATTTATGTTTGGGTTAGGTATGTGAGAAAAACAAATTTGGTGTTCTGATTATTTTAACATACAAAAGATAGAAAACACTGGGCAGGCAATGAGCTCAGGGTCCTGCTGGAGGAAGCCTGCTACTGAGAGCTGACAGGGGAGCTAGGAAAGAGCAGAAACCCAGCAACGCTTCGGGGTGGCAGGGCTCAGAATGCAGGGTTCTGGGGCTAGTTAAGGTAAGGAGAAGCAGCCCTCATTCCTGTCTAGCCTGAGTGCCTCCTTACACTTGAAGATTGTAATCATCTGGAAAAGGTTTCAGAATGTCTTGTCTTCTAAATAGACTGGGGAGAAGACTGTGGCCACCCCTGGGTCTTCTAAGCAAAGGCTGTATTTGGAGGAGTTAGGGTTGTTTGAGGGATTCCTTGATGTGGATTCTCTCTTTTGGTGACATTGGACGAATGAGGAGTGCTCATCCTGCATGTTCACAGCTGCTTTGGTGTCAGATGTGGCCCCAGGAGGGGAGGGTAAAGTTAGACCTGATGCCAGGAAGGCTGGGCCCAGAGGAGAAGATGATGTCGATTTCAAACCAAGACTAATTCAAGCTCTGGCTGTCCAAGGCTGGACTTAATGGTTGAGATAAGGCCCTAGGGATTGGTCCAGAAAAAAAAAATCACTACAGGAACAGGCAGGGGAGGGGCTGGCAGGTTATAACTGAGATCCCTTGGGGGGAATGCCATTCCCACCAATTTCATTGTTCCATTTGTATCCATTTTGCATCCTTCCACATACCTGTACTGTACCTGCAAAGCACCCTGTCCTGAAGCCAGGCTGGTACCCATGTGATCACCCGTATCTTACATAGGCTGGTTGGCCTGGCCCTGCTGAGCCTGACTCCACATACAGATGAGACAGTTTACTAGCACTGTGGAGCCTCACCCCTGCATTTCTGTTCCCAGCTCCCTATGACTCTGATTGCCAACACTTACCTAGAGCCAGATGTTACTGCTGCCCTGCACAGAGGCAGGTGGCCAGGTGGGGTTAGGGCAGGAAGGCAGGCTCAGGCTGGATGGTACCAAGGGTCTGCCCAGAGCAGTGGGAGCTGGGTCCACGGGTGCGTCCTGGCACGGCCGCAGGGACTCTGCTCGGCCATAGCTGAGGGTTGTGCTTGGGGAGTTGCTGTCAGAGTCAAGGGAGGGGAAGGGACTCAGCCATGTGGCCTGCGAAGCAGTGTCTCTCAGGTGGCCAGCCAGGTGCTGGACAGCTGAAACCCTTCCTCTTGTCCTCCTGGGGGGTTCTTGAGTCTGCTGCCCCACAGGCACCCACTGCTGCTCAGTAGCTGAGCTCTGGTCTATACCATATGGTCCCCAAGTGGTCAATGACCCATGTGGAGGCTCCTGGGAAGGCCAGGCAGGGCTCCCTGAAAGCTGGCATACTCCTAGAAAGTGGGGTGGAGACTCTTGACCCCCAGGAGCCTCTGGTGACCTATGCACCAACAGAGTCTGACTGCTGCCTGCACTGGAGGGAAGGTCTCCAGCTGGCTGTGAGCAGGGAAGCCACGGGTTGACCACACATGGGTGGCTAAAGGCGTGATGAGACAGGGCCTGTCTGACTCCTTGCCCTGAGCCCACTTCCACAGGGTCAACTGGCTGGCTGTGGAGGGAAAAATCCCAAATGCTGCCTGAGAGATGGGAGCCACAGGGGCTGGTCCCAAAGGCAGGGTCTGGGGCCATCAGAGGCTCCTGACACCGACTGTGGGTGGGTGTTTGAGGCACAGTTTCTTCGCAAAAATCCAAAACACCAGGATCTGCCTGGTCCAGGTGTCCAAGAACATTTTCTCCTAAGGAGAGTGCAGCTGTGCAGGCAGGCTGGAACCTCTGGGCAGGACGCCTAGGGCTGGAGGTCTCAGGCAGTGGGCTGGTAACATCGTTGTGGTCAGATATCCTTTGTTTCTGGCTCATCCTGAAGTCTGAAGGTGCTGCCTGGCTGTGTGGAGCCTGCTCCTGGGGAGAACTCTGAAGGGGACCCAGGAGTGCGTGGCCAGGGATAAGGAAATGCTGCAGATGTACTTGGGACTGGCTGGGGACAGCACCCAAGTTCTGAGGCAAGGTCAGCTCCCTGGCTCCATCATCCAAGCCCTGAGAAGACCGAGGCCTGAGGGCCAGCAGGGGAGTTGTGCTGGCCAGTAAGGGCAAGCTTACACACGTCTCGTCATGGGAAAATGCCCCCACTTCCCTCTGGAGCTCTTCTCTCTGGCGAGGTGGCAGCAAGTGGCAGTTCTGGGGCCCGGAAGTGTCTGAATCAGTTCTGAGGAAGTTCTCCTGAGTGAGGTCAGTGACCTCTGTCTGCTGAAGGGTGAAGCAGAGATCTGGCTGCTCTTCTGTATCCTTTTCCAGTAGGGTCTCGATGAAGGTCAGGAGGGGTCTACCTTCTTCCCCCTCTTCATCCTCCTTGCTGTCACATCCATTATCAGAAGCCCATCTAGACAAGGGTGAGCCTTGAGGGGTTGGTGCAGTGCAGGCTGAGTACATGGATTCATCTTGCCGCATCATGGCTCCGAGGAGCGACCCTGGGTGCACAGGAGCCTGGCCGGCGGGAGGGCCCTTCTTTGCCCTGGACCTCTTCCTGGTCGTTGGGATAGGGTTCAGAAGGCCTGGGAGGTTGCTCTCATACAAGATGGCCTCCCCCGTGGTGAAGGTGAAGGGCAGCTGCCCTGCCCGCTTCTGCAGGTGCTCCTCCCCTTCCGCGTTCCTGAGGCCAGACACAAGAACAAGTCTTAACTTCTGGGAATTATAGTGTGAGTGAACAAGAAGGCCTCTTAGCCAGGGGACAGTAGTGGCCAGGTGATTGAACAGGTGAGTAAGGGACAGCAAATCATCTGTTCTGTCTTGTTCAACAGGAGTAAGAAAGAGAATGAGTCATGAAACTGAGCTCTTTTGCATTGTTTGGAGTATGGGCGTACCTCAGAGATATTGCAGGTTCTGCTCCAGAGCACAATACAGTGAGTCACGTGGCACCCTGGGCTTCTAGGGCATGGAAAATATGTTTATTATAACTGTGGTCTATTAGGTGTGCAAGAAAATGATGGAAACGCTTGAAGTGTTGTGAAAATTACCAAAGTGTGTTGTCGAGGCACAAAGTGAGCTGCTGGAAAAGTTGTGCTGGCAGGCTGGCTTGATACGGGGTTGCCACCAACCTTCCACTAGTAAATTATGTCACGTCTGTGAAGTGTAATAGGGCAAAGTGCAATAAAAGGAAGTGTGCTTGTACAAAATTTTTGGTCAAGGATCAATCCTACCAAGGATTCTGAAATAGTCTCAGAGAAAATTGCATATTTGTATGATGAGAAGTAAAAATATCCATGTCTTTCTTCATGAGAAACAAACTGGGACCAAGCTTAGAAGGCCTCATTTATGGTATAAAAAGGCTGACAAATACAGCCAGAAATACACAGTCTGGAGAGGATAAAATTGATAAATGGGACTGTCTAAAGATTAAATCCCTGTATGCATAAAAAATGTTTCCAATAGGGTGAAAAAACCCCCAAAACAAACCAACAACACAAAACCTATTGACTGGGAAACAACATTTATAATACTATCTCAGAAAAGGGTCTCATAACAAAAATTTACAGAATACTCCTAGGCCTCCAGAAGAAAGACTGATAACCCAATTACAAAATGGGGAAAAGATATGGAAAGACTTTTCACAGAGGAAGACTTTGGATGGCCAACAAATACATGAAGAAATGCTCAAAATCATTGGAAAAAACAGAGATGCAAAACAAAACCACAATGAGACACTATCTTACCCCAGTATCAGTGGCAAAGTTTAATAGAGCAGCAAGCAATAAATAAGGGAGAGGTGGGACGTCTCATACATTGTTGGTGGGACTGTAAAATGGAACAATCACTCTGGAAGGCAGTTTGGTGTTTCCTCAAAAAGCTGAACATAGAAACTTCATCATATGACCCAGTTATTTCACTACTAGGAATATACCCCAAGAAAATTAGAACTGAGTCACAAATGGAGATTAGTGTATACCAATGTTCACAGCAGTGTTATTCACCATGACAAGAACATGGAAACAGACCAAATGTCCAACCACAACCAAATGGACTGAGAAATTGTGGTACATTCACATAATGGAACATAATGCAGCATTCAGGAGCAACAATTTTGAAAAAACACTACATAACTTGGGAGAGACTGGAGAGCATGTTGCTAAGTGAACTAACTCAGTCGCATAAGTACAGATACTGTATAAGACCTTTAATATAAAAATAGAAGGATAACTAGTAAAATGTGTATGGTGGTCCAAAGGGGCAAACGGTGAGCAGAGGGATGAGGATGAGTAGGGACAAAACACCTGGGTTGTACAATTTGGTGGGTGGAGGGAGGAGGTAAAGGAAACGAAAAAGATCCAGCAGAGACCTGAAAAGACTGGGTAATGGGCATAGTCCAGTGGTGATTAATTTTATAAAACACAACGTATGTGAATGATTGTATGAAACATGTCGGTGAAAGAATGGGGGGAAAATCTATATAATAAAGTTGTCAATGATTGTTTAAAAATTAATTAAAAAATAAAAGCATTAATTAAAAAATCCAAATCTATGTTCATAGAGCCTTTTTTGGTGACTTAGTATATAATTTTTGTGAGTGTTCTGTGTCTACTTTAGGAGATATGTTTTCTATGATCAGGGTTTAGTGTTTTGTATAAACCCAAAAAATCCATCTAATGAATAAAACAAAACAAAAAACCCTCTAAATAATGTAAGCAATCATTGATACCCTGTAATTTAAGATGCTTTTCCATATTAAAAACTTCTCCAACATGGGATTAAGGAAACCTACAGACTGGGACAAATATTTGGCAATGATATATTTGATAAAAGACTTATATCTAAACTTTATAGAATGTGCCCGCACCTCAATAAGAAAATGCTCAACAACTCAATGTCAAAATGGGCACAATATAGGAATAGACACTCCATCAAAGAAGAAATTCAGATGGCAAACAAACACATGAAGAAATGTTCAAAGCCCCTAGCTATCAGAGAGATGCAAATCAAAATGACTGTGAGATATCATCTCACCCCAGCACCAACAGTAAAGTTCAACAGGTCAGCAAACAACAAATGCTGGTGAGGTGGAGAGATTAGAACTCTTATCCATTGCTAATGGGAGTTTAAAATGGTACAACCACTATGGAAGGTGGTTTGGTGCTTTCTCAAAAAGTTGGAAACAGAAATACCATTCGACCCAGCAATTACACTACTGAGAATACACCCTAAAGAAACTAGAGTGGTGACTCAATCAGATGCATGCACACCCATGTTTATTGTAGCATTATTCACAATAGCAAAAAGAAAGAAGCAGCCCAAGTGCCCATTAACAAATGAATGGATAGAAAAACTGTGGTACAATCAGGTAATGGAATATTATGCAGCACTGAAAAAACGGGACTTGTAAGACACTACAAAACATGGGGAAGTCTGGAAGACATTATACGGAGTGAAATATCTCAGCAGCAAAAGGACAAATACTACATAATATAGCTGTTATAAAGTAAGATTGACATGGGGGGTTGGAGTAAAATAGGAAAAGAATGGATAGATAATGAACACTGCATTGGAATAGATGAGGAGAAGAACTGCCTGATTAGGTATTATATGTATGACAACAATATGAAACAAGAGGTACATTACAAAGTGGACTGTGGGAAGGGGTAGGGTAAAGGAGGAGGAGAAAGGAAATGTGCAACAATGAATCAATGAATGAAATCCCAATCTTTCTGTAAATCTTTGTTAAAATCACACACAAATAACAGACACTTCCTACTGTGGGGAAAAGTAATTTTAAAAATACATAAACCAAGTGATGACAAAAAAGGGCTTAATTAGACATTACCATTAACCAATTACATTAATCAATAGCAATTAATGTTATAAAAGAATTTTGTTTTATATGAATGATTATGAAAAACCAATATGATTTGTAAATATTCACTCAAATAAAAAAATAATTACTTAACTGAAAAATTGCATGCATAAATTTCCCAAGCTTCACATTAACCTTGAAAATTAAGTTACTGTACAAACACATAACACATACAACAATTTTTCACTGGGGAAAGGAATATTCCTTTCCTTTCTTCTCACCATCCCCGCTTTTAAACCGATTCATGGGATGCAAATACCATCAGGCTACCTGGATAGTCACAGGATACGAAGCCTAGAGAGGTGAGAACCTTGCCTCACTGGACCAACAGTACTTGGTGTCCCACATCTGGCTTGATGACCCATGGAGGAAAATGATTGAACTAGAACTGTGATGGAAGCTGACCTGGATAATGTGGGCTCAGGAAAACAAAAGATTGTTTATTCTGATGTGTTGAAAGAATGTTTGAAGAAGCTGTGTGTCTCATCTACCAACATCAATATAGCTATTCTAGTCTTTTTTATGCTTACTGTTTGTATTATTTATCTTTTTCCAGTCACATCTTCAGCCTGCCTGTGCCTTTCCATTTAAAATGTATCTCTTGTAAGTTGAACACAATTGAGGTGTTGTGTTTTTTTTTTTAAATCCATTTTGCCAATTTCTACCTTTTTAATTGGAGTGTCTTGTCAATTAAAGTTTAATGGAATTGTTGATATAGTTAGACTTGGGTCTTCTACTTCATTCTTTAGGGATCTCTGGTGGTATAGTCTATAGAGAGCTGAGCTGCTAACCCAAAGGTGCTGCCTCTTGGGTTGTCTGAATCCACCAGCAGCTCTGTGGGACAATGAAGAGAAATCTGCCATGCAATTTACAGCCTTCTGAAAACCTGCTAGAGAGGGTCAGCTATGAGTGAGTGAGTGGGGTGGTTTCACCATTTGTTCTATTTGTCCAGTTTTTTTATTCCTCCCTTCTTTATTTGCCTTCCTCCTCTTTCCCCGAAGTCGATTTTCACTTATTTGTGGGCTATTTGGCTGTATATTCTCTATTATACTTCTCATGGTTGTTGTAATAACTATAACGTATACTTTACACAACTTTACATTTGCTGTACTGAGGTAACTTGCTGCTGTGATGCTAAACACTGTGACACTGATGTGTCAAATGTGATAATGGTTACCCAAGGTGGACAGTGTTTGGTGGAGCTCCCCGATTAAAACAAGCTTGGAAGCAGGAGTGGCATCCACTTCCAAAATAGCTTGCCTCCGGAAATCCTAAGAACTGGGAGAAATGATGAAAGTTATACAAGTGTTCAGGTTTTTCATTCATAGGACTGCTACGAGTCACTTACGACTCAATGGCACTTAACAATAACAACAACAACAACATACTAGAGTTAATGTTGTGGAAGTCACTTCACGTAAGATTTATGCACCTGCAAATTGTACAGATCCTCAACACTGCCTTTTATGCTGTATCATATATACATTATATCCATATACTATAAATTCCACAAAACATTATAATTTTTAAACAAACACATGTACTTTAAGAAAAGGAAATATAGTATTTTTATTTTAAAAAATTTATGCACATGCTTACCGTTTCCTAATCCCTTCATCCCAAAGTTGGAAGAGAACATTTTGTGGTCTGATAAATGAGTTATGTAAGAGAAACAAGAATTTAAAAAATCCTGCTTGTATAGCTTATTATGTATAAACAACCTCATTGCCATTGAGACAGACGGCCTCATAGCTAACCCTCCAGTATATTTTCACAGAATATAAGCCACACAGGAAAAGCCTGCCCATCTTTCTCCTGTGGAGAAGCTGATGGAATTGAACCACCACAGAGGTAACACCTTAGGGTTGGCAGTGTAACTCCTTACTTGACAGGACCACTGCAGCTGTCGATGTTATAGTTTACAAACTAAGTTACAAGGTAGTGAAAGGATATGAAAGATTAAGTTGTGAAATCCTAGCCTTCTGGAAATAAGTGGGAGACTCTCCGTATTACCTATATGTCATAGAAGCAGCTACCAGCCTGCCCCACTGCGAGGAGCCTATGAGGTAATGACTGATCCTATTCCCTTGGGAAGGCCACAGGGTACAGGTTCACAGCACAAGCAGATGAACAAGAGGTGTGTACGGCAGGCTTGAGGAAGCCATTTCTGAGGAGAGGCATGAAGCCAGCTTTTTGCAGATGGCAATGAGAGTAGCACTTCCTTTGTATACGGTTAAGTGAAGATTCTAGATTCAGAATTTAAATTCTGAGCAAGTAGAGCCTGGGAATTTTCTCTTTTTTGTATTCAAGGCTTCAATATTTGCAGCCATTTTGGTGCAGGCCAGCTTGGAAAGAGGAAAAGAAAGACCATCTTGGGCAAGAAGGAAGAAAGACCGCTTTGGCATACCCGCACTTAGGGGAAGAGAAAATTCTGTGTGCATGTGCTCCAGAAATTGCATAGCAGAGTGGAGGGCAGGCTCACTAGGAAACTTAAAGCCATGGGCAATGCTTTGTGCTAAACCCTGGTGACCACGTCCTGAAAAGGAGGACTTCACTGGGCTGGTCCCTGTGTGCGTTCCTCCCTCAGAACTACCCAAAGGAGCACTCTCCCCAGTCACTTAACACTCACCTTAGATCCTCACTTCTGACAGAGTCCTCACACAAGACCTTCAGACTTTCTTTTAAGTCAGGCTTAACACTTCTACTTTGGGGATGGGCCTTGTGTACCCTGGGTCCCATGACAGGGCCCTTGCTCCTCTGGGACCACACTTACGTTAGGGCACGCTGTCTGGCAACGATGCAGTCTGGCTGGGCTGTCCGGATTACCTTGTAGGTTTTGTCCTGCCCTCTTAGCGCTCCTGGTTGGTTTGTTTGCGGTCGGATCAGTGTGCTTCGGGTCTTTCCTTTTTTTCTTGCTGTTGCTCGGCACATTGGATGTGCTTTGCGCCTCTTTTTCTGGTTTGTTGAGCAGTGTCAGTGTTTAGCGCCCGTTGGTCAGGTGGCTGGGTAAGCGTTTGCTTGTGTGTCTGAGGACTCTCTCGTTGTCTCTTTTCCCACGCTGGTTTGTGTGCTGATGTCGCTTTGTGAATTCGCAGCGGCAGTTTTTCTTCTGCCGGTGCTTCTTGTGGGTTTTTTGTCTGCCTTTGTAGGGCGGTCGCTTTCTGTTGAGTTCAGTTTTTTTTTGTCTTTGGCTGTTGTTGCCTCTTTCGTAGAGTCGCTGTCTTCTTATCTTGGAGGGCTTCTTTTGCGTTAGGGTGTTTGTTTTGGGTGTGGTGGGTGTCTGATTAACTCTTGCCGTTCTTAGGTCCGAGTTTTTTTTGTTCTTGTTGTTTCGGGCTTTTGCTGCTGTTTTTCTTTTGTTTCGTGTGTGTTTCTTCTAGGAGCCCTTGGGGCGGTTTGTGTGGCTGTTGTCTTTTTGCTGTTACTGGTATTGATGTTCCGCGTGATGTTTTTTGGTGGGGGATTTTGTTTGATTCTGTTTTTGTTGTGTTTTAGGTTTTTTATATCTTTAGGTGTGTTTGGTTTGCTGTTCGTGTGTTGGCATGGGCATTTCTTCGTTCTTTGGTCGGGGTTATGTTTGGTAGTGCTAGGTTTTTTTTTTTTGTGTTTTCTTGATTCTTTTATCATTTCTGTTTTAATCCTGTATTTGGTTGTGCTGCAGCTGTTGGTGTGCGGGTTGTGGGATTCTGTGGTGTGGTGATTGGGGCTTTGTTTCCGTTTGTTTGCATGTTAGATAGGGTGTTAGGGGTGTTTAGGTTGAGTACTATGGCTCTTGTCAGGGTCCTCTTTGTGTCGATGCGTTGTTTTGGTCTGGTGCTCTCTGGGTTGTATTTACTGGTTGTTTTTCTTTTTCTTGTGTGTGTTCTTGGGGGGTCTGGTATGTTTTTTCGGATTAATTTTTTGTTGCGCCCCGCTCGTTTTCCGTTTGTTATTTTTGGGATTGCCGGGGTTAGTCGGATTTTTTGATTGTGTGATTTCTTGTTGTTCTTCATTATCTGTTACTGTCTGTCACCTCATTATCTGTTACTGTCTGGATCACACACTACCTCAAACTTCATCTTTCCACCCAGAGGGGTCAGCGTATTCTTTCAACACAGTGTATTCTCACAGTACACATTTGGATAGAATTGGTCAATAGTCCTTGCATGGGATGTGGGCCATAACTGGACTTAGAGAACAACCTCAGGTCTCTGGAAGCCATGGTTTCTGGGAAAAGGGACATACCTGGAATCACAGGCTATTGGTGTGAAATCTAACTTGTGTTTTGTTTGGAAAAGATATGTTTTTGTTTGGAGCTCCAGGATGGTGAGAGGTTGGTGAGGCGTTGCAATAGCAAACAGGGTGAGCTGAGGAGACACGAGGATGCCATCTTCTGACCTATTATTCGGCCCAGGGAGGGATTTAAGATGACCGTGGAAATTCAATTCCTGGAAAAAGAAGACCCCATACTTAGGGAACAGAGAAAGGAGAAGAGAATTTTGAGTGTATAAAACTGGGAATGATTGGCACAGGAGAGAGCAGAGTTTAGGGCTGTTGTACACAGGGTCTCTATGAGTCGCAAGCGACTCGAGGGCACATAACAACAACAACAACAAAACTGGGAATATAATTTCCTTTTACTAGATTCTTGTAGGGGCTCTCGTGGCCCACTGGATAAGGAGTTATACTGCCAAAGTAATGTTAAGTGGTTCAAATCCACCAATTACTCAATGAGAGAAAGATGGACAATCTCTTCTTGTGTGATTTATGGTCCCTGGAGGTCAGATTTGGGTCAGTGACTCGATGACAATGAGCCAGCACTGGAGTGTAAAGAGGTTCAATATCCTGAAAGGAGATAAACAGGCAGGGGGCATTTCCCTCTGCATGAGCCTACACAGGACTAGAACCTCTTCATCTTAACCCAGGGGGCTCTGGGGGCCTAGTGGCCCCGCCAGCCCAAAAGTAGGTAGTTTGAATCCCAAGTGGGTTGTCTCCTCCCACGGGATTTCCAGCCTCTGAAACCTTGCTGAAGGGTCAGCTATGAGTTAGTTCCATCTTGACAACACATAACAACCAAAACTTAACCTGGGTTGCATGCCTTGACCATCTTTCACGGTTTCTCATTCCTCCCTCGGGACGTTGACCCACATTGTTGATTGCTGTCGAGTCGAGCACGACTCATAATGACTCTATGAACAAAAGATCTAATGCCTTTCCACAACTGTCATCATTTCTCCAAGTTCATAGATATAGCCCTTTTTAAGAGCCACAGAACGTGGTGCTTTTGTAAGAAAGGATACAATCCGAGGAATTAATATGCTGTTTGCTGATTTGCAGGAGGTGGTAAAGGCAGACAGTAACATTCTGAGTTCTCTAGAATTATGGGTAAATAATCTTTAGATGCTATTGATTGAATTACATCTCTACTTACTCCCCTCGCTAAATATGTGTTGTAAATCCCAACTTCTAGACTGTGGTTACAATCCCATTTGAGAATGTGCTGCCTTTGTAATGATAAATGAGGTCCGACTAGTGTAGAGTGTGTGTGTGTCTTGAGTTAATTAAACAAGAAATCGGTGCAGGGATCAGGGAAAGAGATGGCAACCACATGAAAGTCAACCAGAGCAGAAGTTCAAAGAGCTAAGAACGTTCTTCTAGAGATGACACAGAGAGAATGTTGTCATGTGCTGTCAAGTTGGAACAACCTCTGTCTATTCTTCTAGTCTTCTAAATGGTGAAAAAAAGAAATATTTTTTGGTGTCTTTTTTTTTATCACTCATTTATGGTACTTCTTTCACAGCAGTTTCTAGATAACTAGGACATCAAGTAAAGATGACAAAATTCTTAACTGAATAGAGGAAGGCTCACATGACAATTCAGTGGTCAACAGGTGGGTCTTTTGCAGCATTAGTGGACTAGAGGTTAGATGACCCTTCCCGGATTGGCAAAAAATCCTGGCTGAAACCCTGGGCCATGTTCCATCTGAGCAGAGCCATGAACATGTTTAGAAATTCCCTGTAAAGATGGTGTTATTACCAGAAACCCAGAAGAATTGTCCAGCAGGCAGCGGAAGCGGCAGACAAAGCTCCTCTCCAGGGAGGTGGAGTTTTCAGAGGGCAGATACTGCTGGTCATCACCTGAGGACCTAATATGGGGCAAGGATTTCTCTCTAGGCAGAACTGAGGGAGAGAGGAAGAGACAAATGTGTCACCAGAACAATCACTGTCACAGAACTGAAAATCTTAGTTGTAAAAGCAACTGGTATATACAAAATTTATGGATCCTAAACTGTGTGGCCCGGCTGCTCTTTGGAGTCAAGGATTCTGAAGCTGTGTCTGACATACTTTGGGCATGTTGTAAGGAGGGACAGGTCCTTGGAGAAGGACATCATGCTTGGGAGGATGGAGGGACAGTGCAAGAGGGGAGGCCCTTGATGAGATGGATTAATTCAGTGACTGGGGTAATGGGGGTAGGTGTGTCAGAGGCAGTGAGGTTGGCACAGGATAGAGCAGGGTTCAGAGCTATTGTATAAGGGTCACTATGAGTCGCAGGCAACTTGACAGCACATAACAACAAACTTTGCGGCCATGTGAAATTTGGTTTTCACCAAAAGGTGATCATCAGCCATTTGAGCTGGCTCCCTCATTTCATCAATTGATGTTACCAGTTAGCTTCATGTTAAACTCTGTGTTGCTCATCAGCAACGTTGTTGGTTCCACTGTTGAAATACATGCTGCCAAGTACCTGTCATCGCCTGCCCTCTGCTGTGCTGGTTAGTTCCTCATTATCAGGTGGGCACACACTATGGTGGTTGAGATCATGGGCCTGGGTCCAGAATGGAGCCTCACCTGCTGTGTGACCCTGGTCAAGTGACTTCGTCTCTCTATGGGTCTCAGTTTTCTCATCTAGTTTCACAAGGTTGTTCTGAGAATGACATTCATTTTTACTTATAAAGTATATGGCATCATGTCAGGCACATTATAGTATCCCTGTAAGGCTTGGCTGTTACTGTCATTATTTTGTTTTCTTACTATGCTTTTGCCATAACTGGGGTCCCTGCTCCCACTTTGCTAGTGACTCCCTACCTCAGTCATTACAATAGCCTGCAAGGTCTACGTGATATGCCCACACCCCGAGTTTCTTCTATTAATCTCTTCTCACTCTCTCTGTGCCCTTCTCTGTGGTCTCCTACCTACTTCTCAACCATGCTATAGGTATTTCTGCCTCAGGAACTTTGCACTTGCATTCTCGTTTGTCTGCATTGCTCTCCCCCATTTTCCCCAAACCACTGTAAGCAGAAACATTCCTACCCTACAACTTCTTTCTTCTTATTCTTTCCGTTTTCTCCTCAGAAATATCACCCATTTATTTATTTATTTGTCTCATTTTGACCCCCTCATTAGCACTGAAGTCCACCAGAACAGGATTTTAGGCTGCTTTGCTCACTGCTGTTTCCCCTGCTCAGAACAGAGCTTGGCACATTCTCAGCATTTAACAAACATCTCCTACTTAAATGACTGACCAAAGTGCAGCAGAAGTGATCATCTGCACATTCTTGTTTTCTACAAAAGACAAAGCCAGTGCCAGTTTGGCAGAAGTGAAACATGTTGTGCCCAGAGAAGTGACCTGATAGACTCACCTATCCACTTTTGTAGAGGATGCCGTCTCACCTTCGTGCGAGCACTGGCCCAGCCTTCCCTTTTTTATCCCCAGGACATAGTGGGCACTACAGGGAGGCACTTAACAACACTATAAATTCACTACAGGTTTCCCGCCACCAATTATGTTATTCAAACTCTCTGGTGCTTCTTTACATAAAAAGAGGCATAATTAGAAGCAATGGAGACATACTGAAAATTGTTCCTGATGATATTATTTTGTATTTATTTGACTCTAAAGGAAGACCCTCGATGAGATGGATTGATTCAGGGACTGGAGTAATGAGGGTAGGTGTGTCAGAGAGAGCAAGTTAGGCACAGGATAGAGCTGGTTTCAGGGCTATTGTCCATAGTGTTGTTATGAGTCTCGAGTGATTCGTTGGCACATAACAACCACAACAGTGTTATAAATGAAGTAAAATAATTTGGTGAATTTTTTACTTCATTGCATGCAGAACAAGTGTCAAGAACTATGTATGTTGTTCTTGTTATGTGCCATCGAGTGGCCTATGACTCGTAGCAAACCTATGCACAATAGCTCTGAACGCTGCCCTATCCTAAGTCAATCTCTCTGACTCCGACACACCTACCCCTATTAGTTACTCTGTCAATCCACCTCACCTGGGGTCTTTCTTGCCTGCACTGTCCCTCCACCCTCCCAAGCAGGGTATCCCCAGGGACTGGTCCCTTCTGGCCACGTGCTCAAAATATATAAGATGGAGCTTCAAAATTCTATCCTCCAAGAAGGAGCCTGATTTCACCCTCTCCAGGATAGACATATTTGCACTCTTGGATGTCCATGGTATGTTCAAAACTCTTCTCCAGCACCATAGCTCAGAGTCATCAATTCTGTCAATCCCAGTCATTGTCCAGCTCTCTAATGCCGATCAAGTAATTGTGAAGATCATGGCCTGAATCAGGCACACCTTAGTTTTGAGACTGACATCATTGCTCTTTAGCACTTTGGAGAAGTCTCCGACAGCAGTTTTCCCCAGAGCAATTCATCTTTTGATTTCCTTACTGTTGAATGCCAAGAGTGTAGACTGTGGAGCCAAGCGTGTTCTAATTGTTAACAACCTCAATCTCTTTTCCATCTACCATGGTGCCACCAATTGGCCCAGTATAGCTATTCAATTTAAAGGAGCCCTGGTGTCACAGTGGATTAAATGCTGGTCTGCCAAGCAAAAGGCAGGCAGCTAGTTGCTCCAGTGGAGAAAGGTGAGCCAATCTGCTTCTGTCTGAATTCAGTCTTGGAAACACTTTGGGCAGGCCTCTGCCTTACAGGGTCACTAGGAGTCAGAACTGGCACAAAGACAGTTTTAATTCCATTTATTAAACTTTAAAAAGTCCTGTTGGGATGGTATTGACATACTTTTCCAAGTGTTGCCAGAGATTTTAGAGTTATGTATTAAAAGGGAGCTGGAACAAGAACTGACAGTGATTGCAGCAATGGGCTCAAGTGTGTCAGAGATCGGGAGGAGGCCATAGGACAGGACAGGGTTCAGGTCTGTTGTTAACAGGGTTCTTATGAGTTGTATTCAACTTGACAGCACCTAACAACAATAACAACAACTAAGGAAGAAAGAAGTACAAGGAATGACTAAGTCAGAAGCAATGGAAGTGCAGAACCTCAGGGCACCAGCTGGGAGCCAGGTTATTGGCTTGTGTCTTAGCCTTAAATTACCCCAGTGGCTTTAGAAAGCACTTCTAGCCACTTAAAAACAGATGGCCTATAGTAGGTGCCACTGTATTTTCTACAGCTAATGTGAATGAAGAATATGTGAAACACAATGTATATAAACTTTGAGAAGAGTCTTGAACATACTATGGACTGCCAAGAAAACAAATAGGTCTGTCTTGGAGAGGGTGAAACCAAGTCTCTCCCCGGAGGCTAGGATTTTGAAGCTCTGTCTCACATACTTTGGGCATGTGGCCAGGAGAGACTGGTTCTTGGGAAGGACATCATGCCAGGAAGGGTGGAGGGACAGAGCAGGAGAGGAATACCCTGGATGAGATGGATTGATATGGTATCTCGGGCAATGAGGGTTGGTGTGTCGGAATTAGTGAAACTGGCTCTGGACAGGGAAGGGTTCAGAGATGCTGTACATAGGGATGCTATAAGTCACTGGCACCTCAATGGCACATAACAACAAAAACATATTATATTGGTTGTATTTTTAACTTAAGCTTCAAGTTTAGAGTCAACAAGACCTTGGGGAGGGCTTTGTATTTAAAAATCGGTTGTTATTATATTCTGGAGGAACACTCTTCTAAGTGGTACAGCACTCTTCTGTCAATATGCTGTACTGAGGTAACCTGGGGTTGCTGTGACGCTGAGCCTTGTGCATTGGAGTGTCAAATGCCATTACCCATGGTGGGCAGTGTTTGGTGAAGCTCTCAGATTAAGACAGACTTGGAAGTAGGAGTGGCATACATCTTTTGAACAGCATGCTTCTGGAAACTCTAGAAACTTTGATAAAGGGTGATGGTTGTGGAAGGGCTTCAGGCCTTTTGTTCATGGTGTTACTATGAGTCGTGCTCAACTCAATGGCAATCAACAACAACAAGCAAACCAATAAAAAAATGGAAATAAAAAAAAACCACACAAAAAAGAGAGAAGAGCCTTTTCTGCATCCTACATAGGCGTATTAAATGTACGCTGAAAGCTCTGCAGAGAGGACCTGTGTGTGGGCTCAGATAAAGGCATTTACACAACAGTATGTACACGTAAGCTACAATACTGCCTTTTGCTTATGTTTTTGCATCATCCAGTAGAGGGTGCACAGGGCAGCACACAATTGGTTACCTGTCCTGTGTGTTCAGCAGGTGCACAGATGTGAGTCCTCTGATGGCCTGAACACAATTCAGGGGCTGCATCCTGCCTCTAAAGGCAGGACAGCCCCTCCAGTGCATGTCCTGCCTCTCCTAAATGGGGTCAAACTAGGCAAGCCTCAATTTCTTTCTCTGTACATTCATTCATTCATGCATGCCAGCAATGAATACTTACAAGTGCTCACTCTGTATCATGTACTATTCTAGGCATGGCACATTAGTGAACAAGACAATTTTAAAACTATGCTTGCATTCTATTGATAGCAAAGACAAGTGAAATCTATTTCCTATGCCTGCTTAACTGTTATTATTGTTGTTTTTATGTTACGAGTGTGAACCATTTCATAGCTGACTCTCCAGGAGTTTTCAGAGGCTGTAAATCACATGGGAGGAGACTGTTCATCTTTCTCTGAGGAACAGCTGGTGGATTTGAATCACTTGCTTTCGGGTCACTTGTTAGTGTAATTCCTTACCCACAAGGCTGCAGACTTCCCTTTCCTGTTATTGTTGTTTGCTGTCGAGTCAGAACTGATCCACAGATGACCAACCAGCAGGTTTTCAGAAGCAGTAAGTCGCACGGGAGGAGATTGCTTATCCTTCCCCTGTGGAGTATCTGGTGGATTAAAACTGTGTGCATTTGGCATTGCAGCACAGCTTGTTATAAGGGCTCATGTGTTGTTAAGGTCATCAAGTCGAACATAACTCATAGCGATCCTATGAACAAAAGACCTGAACCCTGTTCTATAACTACTGTCATTTCTCTAAATTCATAGAGTTTCCAGAGGCATGTTGTCTAGGAAGTGGACACCACTCCTATTCCAAATATATGTATATCAAATGAAGTCACACACATGAGATTGATCTGTACAATGCAAAATCTTGTACCATCAATGCTACCTTGTTCCACAAGTTTTCTGATGTGCCCTGTCTTCCTCGCATTCCTCCATGCACTCAGACCATGGCCAGTGAGTCAGCAGTGCTTAGTTGATGATATATACATTTGAGCTGAGAAACAAAAGTTTAATTCTTTAATTTCTTTCCCATGGCCCATAAGGTTCAGGCATGGTGGGTCAGAACACACTTACAGAGTTGATTTGACCTCCTAGCCTTCTCCCCTCCAAGCCTTGGTGACTTACGACTGGTGTTCTGCTTGGCCTCTTTGGTGACAGGGTCCGGGTCTGGTGACCAGCACAACTGACTCTTGAACATAGGTCTATCCTCCTTGTGGATAAGCTCAAACACACTTTGATAGATGACATCTGACTACAAAGACAAAGGGGGAACATCACACTTCCAGAGCTGCTACCTGTCCTCCGAGGCGGTAGTGAAGCCTTCTCACCCTCCACACCCTCAAAGCCAGCCCACATCTTCTGATGTCCGTACTGAGTGACCCGTCATCTTAGCCTCACACATCCTTGTTCCTTCTCACCTCTGGGACTGGTGCATGCACTCTATCCACAGACCCTCCTACAGTCTTTCACAGTTCATTTTCTCAGGCTACTGCTGTGCTCAAACCTAGGAAACACCTCTTGATATCACTGCTAAACGGAGTGACTATCAGGTGATAAGTCTCAGATAACAGAGAGATGCCTGAGATTGAGATACTCTTAGTGAACCACTGAAATAGTCCAGAGAGCTGGTCTGAAGCTCAGCGGGAGGAGGAGTTGAGCGTCCCTGGAAAGCTATCCTCAGCTCTTTCAGACAAAATTAAACAGATTGAGGGGGAAAGATCTGATTTCTGGGAGCATCAAAGTCTGTTCCCTTATTTCTTAAAAGAAATGAAGGAACACAAATTTATTATAGTCTCTTAGGGACTAGGTTTGGCCAAGTAGTAATCTGAACAGGAACAAGAATGAACCTATCTGGTTGCATACAGATTCTGGAATACTTCAAATGCAAAGAGAATGTGAAATTTTTTTCAGGCTAGTTTTTCCTTGAGAAATTTTTAGTGTATTCCTTATAAATCAAGTAAATTTATTCCAAATAATAAATTTCTTTATAAATCTCTATGCCTGCAGTTCCTAGTTTGTTAAATCATGTTCCAGTTGGGCATGGTTTGGGACTCTTTTGAATCTCCTGAGCAGAATTAAGTAAGACTCTGGTGTTTAAGCTATGAGCAGACAATAATGTTGAAAGGCCTGGCAAAGGAGTTTCTCTCCAAGCTGGAAGCCAGCAAAGGAAGGTGAAGGATAAGTGAGGTAGAGACTCTCAGATGACAGGAAAAGACGGAAGGAAATGAAGGGTTTATAAACAAGTTACATGGATGATGAGGGAGCACGGCAGGGGCTCTGAAATGAAGGAAGGTAGCTTACAGAGGGACGATCCAGGAAAAATAGAAAAGACAATTAAAAAAAAACACCACAGTAGTCCAAGCAGGCCTTACTTCTTCATTGCAAACAAGGCCAAACCCAGGCTACTGGTCAAGGAGGGCTGTGGACAGAGGCCGAGGCCAGACTGAAGGCTATCTCCTTCCTGAGTCCACCTGTTCTTCCATGCTCCCTCTGCCTTTTCCTCTCCCTTGTGGCCTTTATTTCTCTCCCATTCATTCCTCTTCTTCTTCCTCCCTCTAGAGCTATGCCTACCACACCTGGAAACTATGGTTAAACATCTCAGCAGGGGCTGTGTGCTCCTAACATCCGTCACCTTACTTTGTGCTTCTCTGGGGTTTTGTCTGAGTTGAAGGATTTTAAATAAGTTGTGTGGGTTTTTTTCCCTTCTTTAAATTCTTTCCTATAGGGGCCTCTGTCCCCAACGAGGCTCATCTCCCATCAAGTTCCTCCTCTGCCCTTGGGTCACAAGTGAGGAAGGGCAAATACTGTTAAGAAACTGGACAGAAGGCTGGACACATGAGGGCTCTGGTGGACACTGTCTGAGGTCTATCTCTGACAAATAAAATCTTTTCTAAGAGTCCAGTTAAAACCAAGACACAAAGGTGAAAATATTACAAAAAAATAACATTAAATCTCAGCTCATTCTTTCTCTTCCCAAGTTAAAGGGAGGAAGTCACTGTAGCAATGAAAGGTGGGTCCCTCATGGAGACATGGCTGGGGTAGGGGTATGGGTTGGTAGGGGGTGAACACAGAGATAAAAATAACTCTATACTTTTATATTTTTTTGGTTTTAGAAAGTTCTCTGTTGCTACAAAAACTCCTCAAGCAAGTCTGTCTTAGATTAAGCACAACCAGAGTGCTCCTTAGAAGCAACAATGGTGAAGTTTCATCTCACATACTTTGTGCATCTTATGAGAAGGGGTTGGTCCTCAGAGAAAGATATCATGCTGAAAAAGGTAAAAGGTCCGTAAAAGAGAGGAAGACTCTCAACAAGATGGATTGATACAGTGCCTACAACAATGGACTTACGCATGAAGAATGTCAGACATCGTGAGACAGGAGAGGGCAAAGTTCAGATCTGTTCATAGTGTCACTATGTATGAGTTGTGGCTGCCTTGATGGCACCTAACAACAACCACTGCTATTTAAAAAAAATCTTTCCATTTCCTTTGAGAACAGGAACTGGGCAAGGATGTCCATTATCACTTTTCCTAATCAACATTGTATTGGAAGTTTTAGGAATAGCAATAAGACAAGAGAAGGAAATAAGAGGTATCCAAATTGGCAAAGAGGAGGTAAAATTATCTCTAGATGCAGATGATATAATAGTATACTTAGAAAATCCTAAAGACTCAGCAAGAAAACTACTGGACATTGTTGACCAATTCAGCAAAGTGGCAGGACACAAGATCAACATACAAAAATCAACTGTATTTCTCTACAGGGACAAAGAGAATACAGAACTGGAGCTAAGAAAAACAATACTCATAACAATAGCTAACCAAAAGATTAAATACTTAGGAGTAAATCTAACCAGAAACACAAAGGATCTAGCCAAAGAAAATTATAAAACATTACTACAAGAACCAAAAAGAGATGTGGAGAAATGGAAGCATATACCTTGCTCTTGGATAGGAAGACTCAATATTGTGAAAATGACAATACTACCAAAGGCAAATTATAGGTTCAATGCAATTCCAATACAAATATCAATTCCATTCTTCAACAAGATGGAAAAGGCAATCTCCAATTTTTTGGAATGGAAAGAGGCCCTGAATACACAAAGCACGCCTTAAAAAGAGAAATAAGGAGGGAGCTCTGGTGGCCTAGTGGCAAGAAACTGCTTTGCAATCCCAAAGATATGTGGTTTGAATCCACCAGATGCTCTGCTGGAGAAGGAGGGGCAATCTCTTCCTGTACCGTCAGATCCAATTTGATGGCACACACAAAAATAATAAAAAATAATTTTTTTTAAAAAAAAAGGAGAAACAAGGTAGGAGGCATCTCACTCCCTGATTTCAAATTCTACTACACTGTTGTCGTGGTCAAGACAGCATGGTACTGGTACAGTGACAGACACATAGATCAATGGAATAGAACTGAGAACCCAGAAATCAGCCCATCTACCTGTGGTCAACTGATTTTTGACAAGGAGATGAAATCAATTAAGATGGTGTTGGCAAAATTGGAAAACTATCTTCAGAAAACTCAAGCAAGACCCACTCCTCATACCACACACAAAAACCAACTCAAAATGGATCAAGGACCTAGAAGTAAAATCAAGGACTAGAAACTTCATTAGAGAAAACCTTGGAAGAACTCTAGAAGTCCTAATCCAAAATGTGAAATCCATGAATTCCAAGCATCCTGAAAAACCTAATATCAGGAGAAAGTAGGTGAATTGGACCTTCTAAGAATCAAATCCCTATGCACATTCAAAAACTTCTCCAACAGTATAAAAAAGGAAAGCCACAAACTGGGAAAAAATAGTTGGTAATGACATGTCAGATAAGGGACTTACTTTTAGATATAGAATTTATAGAATACTCCAGCACCACAAGAAAAATCTAAATAACCAATTGCAAAATGGGCACAGGATATGAACAGACACTTCACCAAAGAAGACATTCTGATGGTGAAAAAACACATGATGAACTGTTCAAAATCCCTAGCTCTAGGAGAGATGCAAATCAAAACAACTATGAGATATCATCTCACTCCAGTAAGAAGAGCAAAATTCAACAGAGCCACAAACAACAAGTACTGGTGAGAGTGTGAGGAAACTGGAACCCTTCTTCACTGTTGGTGGGAGTGTAAAATGGTGCAACCACTGTGGAAGGCAGTATGGTGCTTTCTCAAAAAGTTGGAAATAGAAATGCCATTTGACCCAGCAATTCCTCTATGGGGATAGACTCTAAAGAAACCAGAACTGCCACCCAAGCAGATATATGCACACCCATGTTTATTGCTGCTTTGTTCAAAATAGCAAAGCATTAGAAACAACCCAAGTGCCCATCAACAAATAAATGTATAGAGAAGCAGTGGTATATTCATGCAATGGAATACTATGCTGCATTGAAAAACAAGGAACTCATGAAATATTATACAAAATGAGTGACCCTGGAGGATATTATGCTGTGTGAAATATCTCAGACACAAAAAGATAAATACTGCATAATGCCACTGTTGCAAAAGGGACTGAGAGAGGAGTTGGGGGCAAACTAAGAAAGGAGTGGATAAACAATGTACACTGCATTGAAACAGATGCAGGAGAGAACTGTTCAAAAGGAATATATGATTAAGTATTATTTTATGACAAGAGTCCAGAATAAGAGCTGCATAGTAAAGTTGACTGGGGATAGGGGGCATTGTAGAACAATGAAATAATTTTTTTCTTTTCAAAGAGAAAAGCATACTGTGTGTGTGTGGGGGGGGTGGGCAGAGAGGAAAATGTGCAATAATGAATGAATGGAAATCCAAAGTTTCTATAAGAAGACTCTCATTAAAATATCAATAAAAATAATAATTTCCCCCCCACCAAAAAAATTCTTTCCATTTCAAGGACCCCTGTTGTGTGGTGGTTATTTGTCTGATAACTAGAAAATTTGGCAGTTTGAACTTACCAGTTATTCCATGGAAGAAAGACTTGTCAGTCGAGATTAAGCCTTTGAAACTCTATGGGACAGTTCTGCTTTGTCTCAGAGGATCACCCTCAGTCAGAATTGAATTGAAAGTAATGAGTTTTGGTTTTTCCTACTAAATGGCACTTTTGGTGTATAATACACTTGAAAATGCATTGGTATCACTCGATCAACACTATAATACTGTAGGTGCAGAATATCTTCCCTCAGAGGCAGTCATGAAAGCGCATTTTTTTACTTCTCTGACTGCAGAGAATGTAACAAACAGTCACAGTCCAAACTCAGAAACCCATCACGGCAGCAGCACTGGGGCAGGTCATTCTTGGGAGAGACAGGACTTCTCTGATCAGCAACTTTGGCTCAGGACCGAAGGCCCCATTTGCTAAAGGCAGTGCGATATTGCCTGGGCATAGCATTCCACCAAATTTTAAGTTGTGACTATTGCCAGGGCCGTTTTGAACCAGAAGATGAAAAGAAGAATCATTGTCTCTTAAGGAGTGATTGGTCTTGATGAGTTGGGCTTCTTTTACACCAAGGGGCTAGGGAGAGAGGTGTAGCACTCAATGACCTTCTTGGATGTGTCATGAAATTCCCTTCCCCACTGTGAATTAACATGTACAAAAAAGCAGAATGAGAAGTGCTAAGTTCACAAACTCTCAAGAATGCATGTTTGGGTCACATCCCCAAGTAAGCCCCTGAGATATGTGAGGGGTGCTGGAAACTGAGAAAAGATTGTGGAGGATGGAGAAGATGAGAACTAGTTTCTATTCTGAAGTTAGCTGCAGTGAGGAGAGCTGTAGTTTGTTCCACCAACATTTATCTCTTTTGAGTTTCCACTCAGGCAGAGAGGGTAACGGGAACCAAGGGAGAGTTGCTTATGAATTTCTTATGTAGTTGCGGATGTGTGCAAAGAGGTGAGTATGAAAATGAGTGTAAGTTCTCAGATTCTTGGCTGTAAGAGATGTAATTAACCTTTACCCTCAATTACTGCCCCTTTTCAATCTACCACCAGGTTTGTGCTAGGGCCACAATTCTCATAGTCTTCTCCTCAACAATGATTGGACATGGCAGGGACAAGTTTAGGCAGACCTGGTGTTAAGAGAAGCATGACACTAGTGGGTAATTTTGGCTTGAGGACTTCCCATAAGCTTTGTCTATTTTTTTATGATTTGCATTTCAGTTAAGACTTTTCACCTACGTACATTCCTTCCCTTCTTTCCTGGATCTCTACTTCATCAGGTCCTACCTCTGCTTCTCAGGTGACCAAGTCTAACACATCTTCTAATAGGCTAGGAAGCCAAAGTTTGAGAAGGTTAATTTCAAATCTCTGCAGTGTGTATAAGAAGAATTTAGATAGAGACTCCGATCTTCTGGTTTCCATTAAAACTTCACAGAGATAAGACTTGCCCTAGTTCTTGAACTGAAAAATAAAGTCATTTACCTGATGAAATCCCAAGTAGTCTTGGACAGTGGGGGAGACATAAAAAACATAGCCATCTTCTGTAACAGCCATGAGGAAACCATTGAGGGCCTGGAAAGAGGCAGAAAGCATATTCATTATACACAGTATATATATTCATAATTTTAAAAAATTTTTAATTCATAATGTTTTATTTTGTCTCTACATTTCTGTAGTATGTCACATTCCTTGGCTATACTGATCCACTGCTGGCCAGCACACCTTCAAGTGTGAGGAGGGGAAAGGAACAAGCCAATGTTCTCCGCTGGCTGAGGCTGTGTGTTGGATTTACTGGACTAAGTAACTACAAAAAAGGCACTCACCTGCTACCACATTAGAAACTCCTGGGATGGTACCAGGGAATAAATTTTTAACTACTCCCCCAGGAGATTTGGAGAAAGCCCTAGGCTTAAGAAAAAGGTATTTTGCTGAGCTTTGATTTTAAGCTTTTAGTTAGAAACATTTCTCCACATTCATTTCAGAGAAACATGTACCGACAGTTAAAAACCACTCACGCGGACCTTGCTCCCTTCTGCCCCTAAAAACCACTACACAGGCCTCGCCTCCCTGTGCCTCTGTTAGTTTCAAGTGAAAATTACAACTTACGATCGTGACAAATTATCTATTCAGTGAGTACTGAACACACAGTTCCACACACAATTCCCAGTTTTAAGCCTAAGATAATGCAACATAAAACACAGGTTTGATTTCCAAGAGAAAAGGCTTGATGGGGAGTGCTCTTCATTGTACCTCTTGGTTTATTGAGATGAATATTAATACTACAGGGTTTCATTAACTGTAGATTTAAAAAGGTATCCAGTAGAATACATCTTTATACCTACTTTTCTTCCTCTTCTTTTGTATTTCATTTACATATTTTGAGTTTATTTGATGGCTGATAACCAGATTTTCATATCTAGCCCATCATCTAAATCACACAATATTAGTGGCAAAACACCTTTGGGGTGATGATCAAGTACTAATGCCTGGAGTGCAGGACTCCTACAACGCCATGTGTAACGCCCACCCACATAGCTCTGTGAGTATAGAATTGTAAAAAAACTGGAAGAGAGATATAGAAAACTGTAGTCAATAAGATAAATATATATAATACTGACATTCCATCAGACATTCAACATGATAATGAGAGCCAAATTCAGCAAGAGTTGAAATAACGTGCTTTCAGAAAACCTCTGAGACCTGATTCTATAATAATCATAATCATTGCCACGGAACAGAGATAGACAGTATTATGTAGCAGTACCTGGAGAAGCAAGTCTCCTTCAGAAAAGAGTTCTGCATTGAGCTGGGGAGAGGCATGTTCACTTGCTCCTGGGTTCGCTGAGGGGCCAGCTGAACAACTTGTATTGCTGTCCTTTAGAGTGGCTAGGAAAGAGAAAAGGTAGAGTTAGTAACATGCTTCCCACTCCCAAGGATGGAAAAGAGAATTCATGGGGCCTTGGGAGAATGGAAAGTGTAGGTCCATGTATTTGCACCCCGAGTTCTTATTTGGAGTAGTAGGATTGGCCATATGTGATTGGACACCTGCCCCTCCACCTAAGTGGTCGGGAGAACTCCACTTACTGTACCTTCTGTGCAGGCAAAACAATCAGCACTTAATGGCCAGCTTAGACACAGCCTCCTCTGAGCCTTTCCTAAAACATCCTCAGGAAAGTTACTGTGGCTCCCTCTGCCCCCTTAGCATCACGCAGCCACCACTACTAAAGAGCATGTTTTGGTGTCTGATCACTTTTATTTACACATTGTTTTTCACACTGAATCTTTCTCATTTCTTTAGCCTCATCCTCCCTCCACCCATCAAACTGTGTGACCCTATGAATGTTGAATGATCCAGGAAGTATCAAGAGAAGATGGAAGGAGTACACAGAGTCACTGTATCGGAAGGAATTGGCTGACACAGGAATTTCATGAAATAGCATATGAGCAAGAGCCTATGGTGATAGGACGTTCAAATTGCTCTGAAGGAATTTGCAAAAAACAAGGCTCCAGGAGTTGACTACATAGCAATTGATTTATTTCCACAAACAGATGCTGCCCTGGATGTGCTCACTAAGTTGTACCAGGAAATCTGGAGGACAGCCAGCTGGCCAACTAACTGGAAGAGATCGATATTTGTTCCCATTCCAAAGAAAGGTGACCCAACAGAGTGTGGAAATTATCGAATGATATAATTGATACCACATGCAAGGAAGATTCTGCTGAAAATTATTCAAAAACGTTTGGAACATTGTTGGCAGAGAACTGCCAGATGTGTAGGCTGGATTTAGAAGAGGTCGTGGTACTGGGGATATTATAGCTAATGTTAGTTGGATCTTGGCAGAAAGCAGAGAATACCAGGAGAATGTCTATCTGTGCTTCATTGACTATGCAAAGGCATTTGACTGTGTGGATCACAACAAGCTATGGCTGACTCTGAGAAGAATGGGAATCCCGGAACATTTGATTGTGCTAATGTGAAACCTATACTTGGACCAAGAGGCCGTCGTCAGAACAGAGCAGGGAGACACTGGATGGTTCAAAATCAGGAAAGGGGTCCATCAGGGATGTATTTTGTCTCCTTCCTTTTTCAATCTGTATGCAGAACAGATCATCTGAGACGCTGGGCTGTACGAGGAGGAATGTGGCATCAGGATTGGTGGAAGAATCAACAACCTGCATTATGCAGATGACACAACCTTGCTTGCTGAAACTGAGGTGGACCTGAAGCGCTTGCTGCAGAAGGTCAAGGACTGCAGTCTTCAATATGTATTGAAGCTCAACATCAAAAAAAGAAAGATTCTCACCACTGGGCCAATTGGCAGCATCAGTATGGATGGTGAAGAGATTGAGATAGCTAACAGCTTTTGTTTACTTGGTTCCACAGTCAACACTCTTGGTAATAGCAGCCAGGAAATCAGGAGACGAATTGCATTGGGAAAGTCAGCTGTAAGGGACCTCTCAAGAGTACTGAAGAGCAATGATGTCAGGCTGGAAACTAAGGTGCACCTAATCCAAGTTATAGTCTTTGCAATTACATGCTATGCATCGGAGAGTTGGACAGTGAATAGAGATGATAGAAAGAGAATTGATGTCTTTGAGTTGTGGTGCTGGAGAAGAGTGTTGAATATTCCATGGACTGTTAGGAGAACAAACAGGTTTGTCCTAGAGAGGGTGAAGCCAGAATGCTCCTTGGAGTCAAAGTTTTTGAAGCTTTGTCTGACATACTTTGGGCATGTTGCAAGGAGGGACTGGTCCTTGGAGAGGGACATTATGTTTGGTAGAGTGGAGGGACGGCACAGGGGAGGAAGACCCTCAATGAGATGGATCGATTTTGTGAGTGGAGTGGTGGGAATGAATATGTTTGAGACAGCGAGGTTGGCACAGGTTAGAACAGCATTTAGGGTTCTTATACATAAGGTCGCTATGAGTTGCAAGTGACACGATGGCACATAACAACAACCCCGCCCATCCTTGCCCCACTCTGCCCTCCTTTTATGAGGCTGCCCACTATCATCCTGTCAGAGGTAGCACTCAACCTGCCTGGGAGAGGTCAGCAGTCTCCTCAAGTCCCCCTACTTCTATGTTTGCCCCATATGGTCAATTCTTCAAAGAGTATCTAGCATGAAAGCTTTTAAAATTTTAAACAGATGATGCTAGTCTCTTGCTGAAACCTATTCAGTGGCTTCACAGTACATTTAGGAAAAAAAAATTCCAAAGTCATGATCATAGTATATTAAGATCTGTTTGGTGGTAGCAACAATAAAAAACAACAAAAATTTCAAACTAAGCATTTTACAAGGTAAAAGTTAATTTCATTCATGTTGTTGCTGTTGTTAGGTACCATCAAGTTGATTATGACTCATAGCAATCCTATGAACAACAGACCTGACCCCCGTCCTATCTTGAGCCATCTTAACACTTCCTTACACACTAGACTTCACTGTGGCAGGCACTGTGTCAATCCATCTGGTTAAGAGTCTTCCTCTCCTTTGCTGTCCCTCCACATTTCCAAGCATCATGTTCCTGTCTAAGGAACAGCCTCTCTGAGTAACATGTCCCAAGTATGTGAGGTAAAGCTTTATCATCTTTGCCTCCAAGGAACACTCTGGCTGCACTTTCTCCAAGACATATTTGACTCTTCTTTTGACAGTCCATGAGATGCTCAGTACTCTTCTCCAATGCCGCAGATCAAAGGTATCAACTGTTCTTCTGTATCCTTATTCATTCTCCAGCTCTCAGATGTACAGTGAGTTATTGGAAAGACCACGGTCTGAATCAGGCATACATCAGTCCTCAAAGTGACACCATTGATCCTCTATAATTTGGAGAGGTCCTTGATGATAGAATCCCCTTGTGGAATATGTCTTCTGCTGTCCTGACTGCTGGTACCAAGGGTGTTGATTGATTGTAGATTCAAGTAAGATTAAATTGTAGACAACTTTCATCTTTTCTCTACCTATTATGATGTTGCCTATCAGTCCAGTTGTGAGACCTTTTGCTTTTTTGACATTGAGATATACAATACAGAGTAAAGGCCGTATTCTGTGATTTAGCTCATGCAATCTCAGAAATATGTAGTTAGAGCAATATAGCAGCCCTGCTTCATGAAGTTCCCTAGGTCTATCTCAAACTCATTTTTGGACTAGTCTCAGCACCCAAGAACCTGGTTCCAGGGTAAGAAGGGGCCAAAGAAGAAAGGTTGAGGCACCAGCTCTCAGTTTAGGAAGCTGCCATATGACTCACTTGCTTACAGCCTATTGGGTAGAACTTGGTCACATGGTCACATCTGTACCAGGGGAGACTGGGAGCATGTCCTTTCTGGGTGGCATATTTCTGCTTTCGGAGTCACTGTAGGGACTGAGCAGCAGGCAGAGCTTCTAAACATGTCTCCTGCCATATGAATGATTGCACGTCTATGTCAGCCGCAAAGGGCTTAGGGCTATTTCCTGTACAGTACACTTTTGTTATGTGCCAGCAAATTTGCCAGGACTGTTCCCTCTGATTACTTGCATAATCAAATTCTCTCCTATTAAGCTAAAATGAGCATAACCAAGTGGTGAACTCCCTGTCCTATTTCTGTGTATTTGTATAAATGAAGAGAATATGACATCAATGTACTCACAGTGCAGTTCTGCACGAATTGTCCTTGGGGAGTTCTGGCAAGGAGCTAGAGAAAGAAATGAGCCAAGAAGTCCTTGCCGTTTCACGTTTCTAAGTGTTATTATTAAGTATGGATAAGCCTATACAGGTCCCAGATGTATTTAGCTGAGTAAACACAAACAATCTTTATGACTAATGCAAATAAAGATTAATTTTATTGTTTACTTGACAAGGAGTGATTTTTCAGTGCAGTGCTAGAGGTGCCATTCTAGCAGTAATACTTGTAGACGTACTGTTTGGTTGAGTTTCTCCACCCTATTAGTGTTGGAGATAAAAAAAACCCCAAACTCAAAAGCCCCCCAAAAACAACAACAAAAAACCCTAATAAGAAACATAAACACAGGCTATACACATGGATTTCACCTGATGGTGTGCATAGGAATCAAATCGATTACATTTGGAAAGATTCGCTGGAGAAGCTCAATCTCAGCAGTGAAAACCAGGCTGAGTGCTGATTGTGGGACAGACCACCAACTACTCATATGCAAATTTAAGCTGAAGTTGAGGAAAATTAAGTCAAAGGGTTGCTATGAGTTGACTCAATGGCACATAACAACAATTAAAAGATTACTGGAAAGATAATATTTTCTTCCATGGATTTGGCCACAAGGGCAGCACCGTTACTGTCATAGGCAAGATCAAAAGGACTGCATGAATATAATTTCCTTATCAAACAATATCATTAATATCACATGCAAGCAAGATTCTGTTGAAAAGGATAAAAAAACGACTGGAGCAGGACATCAACAGAGGACTGCCAGATGTGCAGGCTGCGTTTAGAAGAGGCTGTGGTACTAGGTACATTAGAGCTAATGTTAGATGGATCTTGGCTGAAAGCAGAGAGTACCAGAAGAATGTCTATCTGTGTTTCATTGACTATGCAAAGGCATTTGACTGTGTGGATCACAGTAAACGGTGGCTGACTCTGAGAAGAATGGGAATCCCAGAACATTTGATTGTGCTTATGCAAAACCTATACCTGGATCAGGAGGCAGTCATCAGAACAGAGCAAGAAGATACTGCATGGTTCAAAATCGGGAAGGGTATATGCCAGGGATGTATTCTATCTCCCTATCTTTTCAATCCATATGCAGAACAGATCATCTGGGAGGCTGGGCTTTATGAAGAGGAATGTGGCATCAAGATTGGAGGAAAATTCATCAACATTATGC